CACTTGTTGGCTGCTTGTGCTCTTTAGGTCAGACGTGTGTCGGGAAGCTCCTCTGTTTTTGAGACGCTGGGGGAACCGTCTGATGGGGGAACCGTCTGATGGGGGAACCGTCTGATGGGGGAACCGTCTGATGGGGGAACCGTCTGATGGGGGAACGTGGCTCGACCTAACACCGGTCTCTGTTTAATGGTGGATGAAATTAAGAAAGTGGCGGTACTTTATTAACTTTGAGAAAGCGAATGTCATGTTCACAAGATAATTAATCCACCAGATAATTCAGAGGCAGTCTGTTCTGTAAATTTTACTCCAGGAGCTGCGAGGCTTGTTTTCAAGCTTCAGACTGAACTGAAGCAGCGGCTGCTGACGTCATTACGCTCTTGCACGATGCTGCTTTCAGGACAAGCACGGAAAACTCACCACTCTTATGCCAATACGGTCGCAATGATGCATTTAGGTACCGAAATGGAATTGCGTGAACATTCACGTGGTGGTTATGTAATACAGCGAATCGATAATAAAATATCTGCGTCGACAAATTTACGTAATCGACGTCATCGATTATTTCAACTAATCAATGCAGCCCTAGTTGGATTTTATTTAATCATTTATTTTGCTTTTACTTCATGAGAATATTGAGATTTTTTTCTCTTCTGAACATTTATGACTTGTTATTTTAGTTTTTAGGAATGCAAGACTGTACATACAGGAGGAATCCGTGTGAAAATAGTGTAGTCATATTTAGAACTGCCATAAAATTTATATTGGCTGATAAATGCGTTAAAGTTAAAAATCAAAACCGGCTAAACATGCAGATGCTGTCTGGTTGTGGGTAATTTCAGGAATGTGGCTGAGAGAGGATCGTTAAAGCTTTGGTTGACTCTTTCCCAACTACAATAATCGGTATGCCATTTAAAGCTGGATGAACTTTATGAAGATATAATAATGCTTTTCATTTATTTTTTGTTCTCAGTCTTTTTAAATTTGTTCCATCATGGTAAGAGCAGAAAAGACACTTGAGACTCACAACAAAACAGATTCAATAATCATAAATCAACATTAGAAATCATTCTAAATTAATTGGACATAAAATAATTTCCAATCTGAGTACTTGTGAATATCTAGGGCACATGAACATATTTCAGGGTGAATGCATGTAAATGACTAAATTCCTCATCTTTTAATTGTTTGACTGTGATACCTGAATCTATGATCATCTAGAATCTTTTTTCAGAAATTATCCTACTTTTTCTTTTTTTAATCAAACTTTCAAAAAGCTAAAGTTTTTACTTGGTTGCAGCCAAATCTAAATCTCATTAAAAATTATGTTAAAAGTGCCGTTTTTGTGTGTGGAGCCACACTTTAGCTCTCTTGACTGTCTTCTGTTTATGTACATCACATCACTTTCCCGCTGACTATAAAATATGTGGAAGCAGATCCAATCCTATTTCTTATCCAGCTTTGGTGCTGATGAACATTTGTTAGGTCACATGACCTCGTTGGAGCAACATGGCAGAAGCTGGGGTGGGTTTAGTGGCTGGAGGCACCGCTGTGATGACAACTCTGCTCTCATCAGATAACGGGTTCTCAGACATGAGTGACATCTGGGACATTATTTTTAGAGTTTCCAAACTGCTTATCACTTGGTTTATCTCTGTCTGTCAGGAAGGATTGTTATTTATTAAATTTGTCGTTCTGGCAGCTCATTTTATGAACAAACTGGCTCCAGATGATGTCAGTTTCATTTCCTGCAGGAAAGCTGAGAACAGTTTGGTTGAAGAGTTACTGCGCTGTTTGGAAACTCATTTTTAATCTCTGCCCCTTTTTTTGTTGCTTTTATTCTCACAATGTTATTTAGTAGTGAGTCCATAATCATCATTGATGTCTTAGTAGGTCTATTCTTTATGACCAACCTTAAGCCATTGTTGCTCTTTGTTTTTCACTCATCTGGGGTCTCATTTATAAAGGATTGCGTGGAAACCATACTAAAAGTGAACGTACGGCCAAAAGGCAGAAATGGCGTACGCCAAAAAAAATTCAGATTTATAAAACCGTGCGTACGTACATTTCTGCGCATCTTTCCTTTATACATCACAGCCGCACGTCAGAGTTTGCGCACGAGGTCCCTCCTCAGGTTCTACCCTCTACATGCCCACACTCAACCATAAACAGTCAATGTAAAGTACCTCATGAATGTTAAGATGTATTTAAATCAGTGACAACAAAAGTGATTGGTTCAGACACGCTCCGTCGTGTGTCTGGAGGTTGACAGGTGCTGACTGACAGCTGCTCACGTGAACAGAATGTCTGTAATTGACACAGATTTTCCCTCATTTTGCGTTAGAGTAATCTAACGATTTTTATATAAAAAATCTCAGCTTCAAATTAATTTTCCCTCAGAGCCTGCAGGACGATAAAAACAATAAAAATAAAATGATATATAAGTCAGATAAAATTAGAAATAAGTCCACTGCTCTTCTCCTCGTCCTCTCCACCCCTGCCTGCTCTGTTATCCGCGGCAGACACCCCCCCGCGCACACACACACGCACGCATCCCCCCCTGCGCGCGCACGTGACAAATACGGACTTTAAACGTGAAGTTTTATAACATCCACACTGGCGAGGTGGATGCGCCCTGTGCGTGTATCCAAAGCGTGACGTTTGCTGTCCTGCTCGGGGAGGGGTCTGTGGGTCAGGGAGGGGTCTGTGGGTCAGGTAGGGGTCTGTGGGTCAGGGTCGTCTGAGGAGGAAGCAGATGAATGGAGTTGCGCACGGGAACTTTTATTTAAGATTTAAGTATTTTTTATTTCAAAGGTCCTCATGGCTCAGCAGCAGAAGCATAAATATTAATGTTAAGAAAGCTGATGATAAAGTTGAATAATAATCTAAGTCTGAATCTGAAGGTAAATTAAATATCTGACAGAGATCATGACACAGTGTGGCTCTAATTCCTCACTTCACCATCTGTGTCGCAGCTTCCCGTCTCCAAAATGAGCGTACACATGGGTCAGAGCTGGTGTGAGGCACCGCACATTTTCACGTCAAGTTTGGATTTTATAAATCACAACCTTGGTGTAAAAAGTGGCGTACGCAAGTTTCTGGGCTCAAATTGTGCGTACGCCAGTTTTATAAATCCGACCCCTGATACCTGAGGGTGACATCTAGGGAAGATGATAAAGCTGTACAGTGTCAAGTTTTACAACAGGAAGTGAACTTTTGGCAAATAAATCTTTTATTCATGGATAGTAATGATTGGTTGAAAAATATACGTCTGTTTTAGTGATGTGTTCATGAGAAAGTTTGTATAAAAGTCAAAGTATTTGTTGTTTTAATGGAGATAACATTTTAAATAAATCTCATTTATGAAGATGATGAGATTATTAATTTGTACTGATTGTTAAGTTTAGCATTCAGATTTTATTTCAGTGGTTAAAATTATTTTTTTGTACCAGGCTGTGATGTTTTGCCTTAAGTTTCTATATGGTGCATTTTAAGTGTTCATGGAGGATCTGTACTTTTAATTTAAGATCTCTTTGAATGACAACAGGAAGTTAAAAAGTTGTTAAACAGTCTTTGTTTACTTCTGTACAACATTGGAGC